ACTATGGATAGTGATGGTTGTTACCCAGATACAAAGTGGTGGTTATTTCATAATACAGACATATATCTAATCATTTGTACATCTGAAATTTATATCAATTTTATCTCAATTAAAAAAAAAATTCAGGCCCTCCCTGGTGGTGCAACAGGTTAGGACACAGCACTGCAAGCTGGCCACAGCCACTCCAATGCAAGTTCAACCCCCACCCCAGAGGTGACCCAAAGGGCACAACAGACCTCCTGTTTCTCTACTGCTCCCCTCAGCAGTGGACTTCATCAATCTGCCCGTTCTGCTCCCCGCTCTGTCTCTGGTGAATCCTCTCACTGCCCCCACACCTCAATTCTGTATGCATAAGTAAATAAATCTTTTTTTAAAATTCATCAGCAACAACAAAAATATAACAGTTTGCCTGCTTCATCCTGAATCTGGCTTTTGGAAATAGAATTCTAAGATGTCAAGTCACATGATACTTCTATCGAACAGTGCTACTCTAGAAAACAGTATATTTCGTTCTGCTTAAGAGTCTAATAAATGCAGGAAAGGCACGTATTCTGCTCCTCTGACGTATGACAAGCTTGAGAATCTACCTCTCGAGAAAGAGAAAAGGCAGTTTGATATCTGTAAATTTTCAAGAACAACTGTTAGGATAAATGTGATTTATGGAAAGCAATTTTAATAATTCAGACTTCCTATTCTCCAGTGTAACTTAGCAGTTTTTAAATAGTTTGCCTCACATATATACGCAAAGACCTTTTAAAAAACACCACAGTTCAGAAAGTTAAAGCTTTAAGAGTTGACCACCGTGAGCTGATTCTAACGGCGTGTGGTTTGCTTTTCCTGCGAGTGAAACCCACAAGTATTTTCTGATGCCAGATAAGCGCAGCCTCTCAGGGCGTAGCCGATGGAGGCAGGGCGCACGGTGGCCGGGCCCCAGACTCCTGACGTAGCTACAGCTGCCCAGCCCGCCTGACTTCACACCAAGTTCCAGGAGGAAAGGGAGCCTGGACCCTGGCCACGATGGGCCGTCGGCATGTGCCTGTCGGCATGTGCCTGTGGCCCAGACTGGCCAAGATGCGGTGGCTTCCCCACGCAGTTCCGCCCTGCGGGCAGACAGGCCGGCATCACCTCCCTCTTGGGGCGCCAGAGCGCTGCCTTCGCCTCTCCGGTGACATGTGTCAGACGACTCCCATCATCCTCACAGCCCGCGATTTAGTCTCATCTGCAAACTGCAGCTAACGGCCGACTCCGCGCCTGAGCTGTGCTCCCACTGCCAACTGGCCGCGGCCCTCCTTGCTCCCTCAGCTGGACATCCGCACTCTGGAACGTTCGCTCTGCCTGCGCCCTGGCCTGCCCCCTTCCCTGCCAGGCCCTCCGGGCCACGGTGCGGCTCCGTGCCATCACCATCGCGTGCGTCTGTCCTGTCCAGTGGGGCGGCTCTGCGTGCCTCTCACTAAATGCCACCCTGGTGCCGGAGACACTCAGATTATAGCCCCCATGCCTGGCACAGTACGCAGCTTTAATAAATATGGCAAAATTAGTAACTTCACCTATGGCGTGCAGGTGCACCTGGAGCGGTGTCAGTGCCCCACAGCCAGGGCCTGGCCACACCCTGCTCCCTCCACCACCAGCGGGCTGTCAGCTGGGTGCCAGAACTAGGGTTTGCTGAGAGCGCAAATCAGGACATCTTTCTCATTCAACAGCACACTAAGGTGGGGGATCAAAGCCCGACCTACGTTATCACCCCATTTAGTTGAATAAAAAAGCACCAAGGGGCCCTCCCTGGTGGTGCAGCAGCTTAAAGCACTGCAATGAGAAGCTAAAGCCACTTCCGCATGAGTTCGATCCCCGCCTGCCCGGGAGGTGACCACATGGCGCGGCAGACCTCTCCTGACCCGCCCGCTGCTCCCCTCAGCAGTGTGCTTCGTCGATCTGCCTGTTCTGCTCCCCACTCTGTCCCTGGTGAAGCCTCTCACCGCCCCTGAGCCTCTGGCCTGTACCCCAGTTCTGTATGTACAAATAAATAAATCTTTAAAAAAAAAAAAGCACCAAAGACGGAGGAGTCAGGCATACTCATCAGTGCCAGGACCCGACTACAGGCTGAACAGCCTCCCTGGAGAGGCACATTGCAATGGCATACAAGAAACAGGCCCCAAAGGCTCGCTAAGGGCACAGAGACGGGCTGGACCTGGGCCTGACTTGTTGCCCTGTGCACAGTTCAAGTCTTCTGGGCCCAGAGGGGCCTCTGTGTAAGCAGCTGAGCAGAACACGCGGTGCAGAGAGGCGACGCGCTTCCCACTCATTCCGCAGGGCTCGGGGGCATCAGAACCCCCAGGCACATGCCTGTGGGCTCCACGGCCCACTGCCCTGCAGAGAGCGCCAGGCTGGAGACCCCAAGTCCTGGGTACCTCCCCCGACAGGAGGCGGATAACGGGAGGAGCGGCCAGCTCCCTGGCCCCTCTCCCCAGTCCGGCGCTGAAAGCCAGGCCTTGGGGTGTTTGGGAAAGACAGCGCAGGACGGCGCCCGCCAGCCCGGGGACTCGGCGCCTGGTTCTGCCGAATTTCATCCTACACCAGAGTTTTGCCAACCTCTGGCGCTGCAGACCCCAGCCACCAGGCCAGGGCCGCACCGGAGCTCACAGGAAGCGGGGCCCTCCGCTGACCCCCCTTACCGTGGCTCCCCAGTGTGGGGCAGAGCGGGCCTTGTGGACGGGGATTCAGTGCACAGTCCCGCCGGACCTGGGTCCCCGAACAAGAGGCCGCCCTGGCCACGCCTGCTGCCGCGTGCGCGCCCAGCCCTGGTCGTCAGGGGCCCAGCCAGAGCGCCCAGGCCGCTGCCCAGCGCACCGTAGGTCTAGCCCCAGGCCGACCGGCCGCAGCTCCGCAGCCAGCGCAAGCCGGGCCGCGACGCTGCCTCAGGAGACAGCCACAGGCCACAATGCCCGGACCCTGCACCTCGCCGAGAGGGCCGCGCCCGGGGAGCAGGTCGCGCGGCTCAGCCGCGTGTCAACAGGTTCCCTCGGGGACGGTTTCTATGGCCCAGCCTGGGCGTGCACTTCCCGCCAGTCTGGCCACGGTGCCGCCCCCGCCCACCTCCTTGGCGATAGCGTCTGCATTTGCGAGTTGATGTGGCTGTTACGAGTGTTTAACAGGACAGCGCCAAGGGTTCCAGGCGGTAGGAGCAGCAAGAACGTCCGTAGGGAAGTACAGGTCAGGGTCTTAGGCACGCAGAGTCCGCTCAGGTTCCTGGACACCCCAGTGTTATGACCTTGCGTTTGCTGATATCTGTGACAAGTAATTTGGGTTTTAGTAGATAAAAGCTACGGGATCCGGCATTGCGGCTTATATACCTGTCTTGCCGGATGCTCAAATGGCCTCCGCAGATGTCCTCAGCGAGAGAACAGCGCTCCCTAGCGGCCAGCGGCGCTGGTGTCGCGCCATTTCCCCGGAGCTGCGGCTTCAGCCGCTCTGACCCACGGCGCGGGCGCCCCACTCTTGTTTCGTTTTCTCTTTGGACTTTAGAAAAGAAAAATCACACTGGCTAGCATGGAATTTGATAGCCCGGCTGCAAGCTCAGAGCTGGGGTCACACCGGTTGGGGGGCACCCTCAGGGAGCAGAGGGGGGTGGCCAGTCTCTTAGAGAAGACACACGCGCTCACACAAAGCCTCCGCTCGGATAGTTGCGCAGTGTGACAGGTGAGCGCACGACTGCCCTCGGCTCCCTGCTGAGCTCAGGTGGCTCCGAGACTCCACCCGGCTGGCAGCTTTGACCTCCACGCGTCTGTCCACACGCCAGGAAGCAAGCCGCGGCCTCTGGCGGCCTGCCTTTGTGAGAATAAACATGCCCCAAATCTCAGGCTTTTGGAGTAATTACCTTTCTGCTCCATATCATTTGTACTCGAAGTTAAAAGTACATTTTATAGCGTTTAATCACTTATGTAGCATGTTAATGCGGAATCATCAAGAAAAGCTGACGTTGCACCCAGGCAAGCAATCAGCAGCACTTTACAGAAACGGGCTTTGGTTTTACACTGGCAAAGAGAAAGATGTAGTGAAATTTAATACTGACAATGCATCCAGCCCCCAGGGGTAAATATCCAATATCCAGCTCCAGGAAGAGCGGCTGTGGCGAGTCCCAGAACCCTGTCAGTGCTCAACCCCCGCACGGGCGGCCTGGCCCTATTTTGCGTGGCTCTCACCTCCCTCTGCGTGCGAGTGCACACACACCGGTCACACACACACACCGGTCACACACACACACCGGTCACACACACACCGGTCACGCACACACCGGTCACGCACACACACACACACTGGTAACACACACACTGGTCACATACACACAGCGGTCACACGTACACACCAATCATATACACACTGGTGACACACACACACCGGTCATACATACACACCAGTCACACACACACTGGTCACATACACATAGCGGTCACACACACACACCGATCATATACACACACCGGTCACACACACACCGGTCACACACACACACCAGTCACACACACACACCGGTCACACACACACACACTGGTAACACACACACTGGTCACATACACACACACACACACCGGTCACACACACACAGCGGTCACACACACACACCGATCATATACACACTGGTGACACACACACACACACCGGTCACACACACACCGATCATATACACACTGGTGACACACACACTGGTCACACACACACACCGGTCACACACACACACCGGTCACATACACACAGTGGTCATGCACACACCGATCATATACACACTGGTCACACACACACACTGGTCACATACACACACCAGTCACACACACACACCGGTCACATATACTCTGGTCACACACACACACACCAGTCACATATACTGTGGTCACACACACCGGTCACACACACACACACCCGTCATGCTCTGGTAGCTGCAGACAGAGGGAAGGGGGGCCCGGGGTGGGGGGCGTCAGGCCGCCAACACCACCTCCCATGTTTTACAGCGAACCACGCGCTTGGCTTCGGAACACTGGTCAGCACGTCCAACGCCTACGACGGCTCTGGGGTCGTGACGGTGAAGACGGACTGCCCGCTCCTCTGGACCATGGCCGTGCAGGCCTAGCCCGGCGGCGCCCCGCGTGCCCCCGACGGGCCCCTGCTCGTGGAGGCG